AGGGAAAGCAAGACAGTGAATTCTAGTTCCTTTTCTTCGTACTGCTCCCTTCAGCCAAAAGCAGACATTTTGACATCTCTGAATGTCAAATCCAGGCAGTCTCCAATATTTTGTGAATTATGAGCATTTTCCAAATATCCTATATGAATGTATTTTGGCTCATAACATTTAAACAGAATAGAAAAGTTACTTCCTAATTTCCAAAAGTGCAAAACAAAACATTCCACTGAGGTGATCGTAGTAAAGTTTTGGTTTTTTTTTCAGACAAGCACCTTAGTAATACATTCCCATGTCTGAGGAAAAAATGACAGCCCCTCCATCACTAAAGAAGAGAAATGAGGGTGCTAGTGAATAAAAGCTGAGTTTTTCCTTCTACTTTATCTTCAATCAAAGCTGCTTAGAAGCCCAAACCCGCTACTCTGTAACTCCTATATCATTATCATTTATTTGCATAGACAATTTCTCTTAGAGGTAGTTTTTTTCTTTGGGAAAAAAGTTATTTTCCAGAAAAAATTATTGTTTTGGTTTCAACTTTCTCTCCAATTTGAGAGTAAACATATATATTTTAAATAAATAATACAATCACAGCTTATTCTACTCAAGTATCCCTCCTGTGAAGGAATCCTTCCACCAAACACAAACATACATCCATAATCTCATTTTTGCTAATACACACTTAAACATTCACTTTCTTATTCAGTGATACACTAAATATAAGGTGCCTATTTACTGTCTGAGCAAAGCATGTCATTGTGCTCTGAAGCATGTACTGTCTTGGACCTATTTTAATGCATTCTTTATAAAATGAGTTAAACAGCGCTCTTCTGCACGGCCAGGCAAAAAAATCATGCTGTTAAAATTCACAGAACACTCATTCCATAGCCGTGGGGACGTACCTCGAACATGCACACCAACCATACAGCAGACTATGATAACAGCAACAATAATAATAACAGAATTACAAATTTAGTCATTCAAGCAATGTATTATAACAAGTAACAATTCAGTGCGAACGTACACAATAGTCAGCCAAAAAAAAAAAAAGAAACAGTCCCAACACCAGATTTGTGCACAATATATTTTACTTGTTAGAAAATGAGTAGAGTCAAGAGCCGAGGAACTAGTTCTTCACTGTACAGCCCAGTCTGATGAATGGAAATTGCTGGCATCCTGCTTCTTGCTTGAGGTGACACAAGCTCAGCAACAGACCATGGCTGCAGGATACAGCGTAGACAGCAGCAACACAAGAAATCAGGAAACACTGATGAAAACACGAGCGTGTCTTGGCCATTTCCAGGCACTGCTCGCTTCGGTAACGGCAATATGCGTAATATGCAATACGGCAATAAACCGTAATATGCGATTTTTTTTTTTTCCTTTCCCCCCATGTTGGCCACTGCTTCTGCCGAGCTCTCCGGAGAAGTCAGCGGCCTTTCCGCAGGCAGCAACAAACAATACACGGAGCTTAATCTCCTTGGTCTCATTGAAGTTTCTTCTTCCAGCTTTCTAAAGACGAATTCTTCCAAATCTTTGGGTTTCTTCCTGCTGCTTCTCCTTGCCATCATCCTGGGCAGCTTTCACGTTCCAGGGCGGAAAAGTTTTGCAATGAGACTCAAAATCTTCTGGTGCAGGTGGCACTGGTCTCCTATCCGGCGCAGCTGCAGCGCGCACTCTCTCACTGCTTCCCGCTCTGTAAAGCAGACAACCACATGCCATGAGCGACTCCCTTGCACGCCCTCGTGCCAGTGCCCCTCACCCTTTTTAGACCCAAAGCACCCCTCCCTCGGGGGCACAAGCCACCCTCAGAAAACACCGGCTTAGTTTCCCCTCGGGTTTTTGACTAGAGGAGAAGAACAAGAGCCCCCCCGCAAGGCCAGAGCCGCTTTAACCCAGTGAAGCCCTGCCACCCCAGAGCGGTCCCTGCTGCACCAGGCGGCCTTAGCTGCCGTCCTGAAGCCCCGCGGCCTCGCCTCGCGTCGCCTCGCCCCGCCGCGCCGCGCGGTCCCCGGGTCCCGGGCGCTCGGTACCTGTGGACTGCGGCGCAGCCTTGCGGCAGGTGCGGCCGGGCATCATGGCTGGGCGCGGGGCCAGA